GCAGTGCAGGCAGAAAGCTCCAGTGCATGCAGTTATCATAACTTTACAGATGCCAAACATCTAAGGAACTGGTGCAAAATGAACTCAATTAGACAAAACCATTGCGTTCCTCTATCCAAGGTATTTTTGTAAATTAAGGTTTTCAGCATGTTTAAAGGCCAGTGATGCAAATACACATTTTGGGAGGGACATCAGGGTAAGGGTCCAAAACTGAGATCCAGCTGTGTGTACACAGAACGTTTTATTTTGAAGCTTGCCTCCTAGGAGGAGCTCATTTCCAAACTGAGGATACCCAAATGTTAATAAATTTTTTGAACCGTGTTTGTACAAACTTGTCGGTTTGGGTGAATCCTCATCCATTGAGGCAGATCCCTAATGGCATACAGACCCTTATGTCAGAGGTAATCAAGTATTATTACAAGAGCTGCTGGCTGTGGGGCCCCTCCTGTGCGCACACATGGGGACATATGGAAGTTATTAACAAGTTTCAGTGAAGGATTTTGGGAAATTAACCCCTGCGACCCCAGAGCACAGCTAACAGACAGCTAGTCAGGAGCAGATGAGGAGCAGTTTCCTGCTGGATGCCTGTGGCGTGTTGGGACTGAAATCCAGGCCCTTTGCAGCCCGGCAGAAGCAGCCCCTCTCACAAGGACTAAACTTTTCAACTTCTGCTGTTAGGAAGAAAGGTTGAAAAAAACCCATCTGTATAAGATTCCTCGACAAACTGAAATGAGTCAGCTGGAGAAATGTATAACATAACATATAAAAATGCAAACAATTTTCTTCTATTCCCTGAATGGCGCTCCAGAGGTTGTGAGGAAGTTTGTAATTTCTTTATAAGTCCCTTTAAGAGGCACCAAAAGACACATTTGGATGCGGGCCACCAGGAGCTGCTCCTACAGGGCGGAGGGACCGGTTCAGAGGCAGGGTGATTAAAGCGAACGTCTCCCACTCCTTAATGAAAGCAGCAGGATGTCATCGTTTGCAGTCACCTCATAGAAGTAAACTCTTATGGTTTTGCTTTGTACATCTTTATCTCACGAGCTGAAAGAAAAAGGTTTCTCTTCCAACATCCAGAGCAGAAAATGAAGGAGGACTCTGTAAAGCCGGCCGTAGCCAATGCACTTTTCACGTTCCTGTTCTTCCCAAACTGGTTTCCTTTCTTGCACCAATCCTGATCTGGAAAGTGACCTCTCCTCAGAAATAATGAGGATACTCACCCATAATGTGCTTTAAACTTTCCTAATAGAACAATGCTTGGCAGTCATTCACTGCTTTTCATCCACAGATCTCAAATCAATTCGCTACAGCCCTCCATGGTATTGACTTACTTGTAAGACAGAGATGAGCACTTGCTGTGCAATTAAAAAAAAAAAGAATAAATGAATAAAATAAAGCAGACTTTACTAAAATCCAAATTATTTCCTCCTCCCTTGGTGTGATTTTCCTAAGGCACAACCCTGGCCGCAAACAGGGCTCTTCCGCAGCCCCCAGCCGTACAACCCAAGATGCTCGTTTTCGGCCAAATGAGAATGGTTCACAGCCAGGTCAGAGCAATCCAGTTAGAAAGCTCTTCCCTCAGTGAGCTACAACTGCGGCCATAAAACAGAAGCATTCCTGTGCTCGGTTATAAACGTGGAAGAAATGAGCCCGCTCCTTCCCCCTCCTCCGGTTTCTGAGGGGAGGGCAGCCAAGGCACCTCGGCGACAACACCCCAAGGAAGAAAAGGAGCCAGGGGATGGGCAGGCTGCCCCGGGGCAGCAGACCCGGTCCCACTCCTCCCGCAGCGGGCAGAGAGGGTGGGCAACCGTGTGGCTGACCCTGCCGAGGCAGGGGCTTACACCTGAGAGCCAGGGCACGGTTCCAAAACAGTGGTGCCCAGGACCACCTGAGATGCCTGCAGGGGCTGGCAGAGCAGACGGAGGAGCTACAGGCGGCTTACATGCTGCCAGAGCTCTGCCCAAACAGCACTGAGGGTGAGCAATGGGATGGTGCCTGAGACCAGGCCAGATCCATGGCAGGCAGCAGCACCCAGAGCACGTGCATGACTCAGCGGTGCTCCATGTAGCGTGGGGAAAGCAAGAGGGAAGTGGTTTTCCATCCACCAACGTGCCACAGCACTTGGCTGGTGCTGGCACCATCCCAGTCCCTCTGCAGGGGGTTTTGCAGGCTCAGCACCTGCAGTGACAGCACCACCACCTCCAGCTCCTCCATGGCCAGCCACACTGACCTGCCCTACGAAAATGCAGGACATCGGAGTTCTTCAGGGGAAGGGACTCCAGGAGGTCTCTAGTCCAGCCTGGAGCTCACACCAGGGCCAGCTCCAAGGTCACACTGGGTTGCTCCAGGCTTGACCCAGTTGTGTCTTGAAACTTCCAAGTATGGAGACTACCTCTCTGGGCAACCCGTCCCACAACAGGACTACCCTCATGGGAAAAAGGGTCTCCTCATAGCCAGCCTGGACTTGTTTCCTCCACATCTGCCGTAGACCATTCTGGTGAGCCTGGCTTCCTGCGGCCCTCGTCGTAGGTACAAGCAGGCTGCTGTTAGGTCCCTCCAAAGCCATCTTCTTGCCAGGCTAAACAAGCCCAGCTCCCTCAGCCTCTCCTTGCAGGGCAAGCGCTCCAGCCCTGAGCTTCTTGATGTCACTCCCCTGACCTCACTCCAATTTATTACATTTTTGTTGCACCAGGGAGCCCCAAACTGGAGGCAACACTCTTACTGGAGTCTAAGGAGTGGTGACTACAGGGACATAATCACTCCCGTTGTCTGCTGGCAGTGCTGCTGTTAATGCAGCCCAGGATGCTGCTGGCCCTTGCTGCAGGAGGATTCAGCTTTGCTGTCTGCCAAGACCCCCTGTCCTTGCATGGGTTACAGTGCTCGGACAGGGCTGCTGCAGGAGCTGCAGATACCAGTAACCCTGAGCGACAGGGGGGGTGTTTGAGCAGGGGATGCCCAGTGCTATCCTCTCAGGGTGGGTTGAACCCCAGCCCCCCTCGTGATGCTGCCTGGGGTAACGCAGGGCACCTCGGCCCTCACCCAGGGCATCACAGCCTGGCTCGGGCATCCGAGGGCTCCAATTCACCACCTCTAATGGACCCAGTGATGATAACCAATGCAATTACCTGCTTAGCTTTTTGCCCTGTCCCTGCACGAGATCACAGTTCCGGCAGCAAGCAACCCCATACCCACGTGTCAGCCGCGACCATGCACACACACCCTGTGACAGTGAACAATCCCAGCTCGTGCTTTTGCACTGGGCTGAGAGCTGCAGCAGCTGCAGGGCTCCCCAGCTGCCCCTGGCCTCCCTGAGACCGAGGGGAGCAGGCAGCAGGGCCACTTCTCTGGCACTTATTTAACCACCTCGGTTCATAAGCCAGTGCTCTGAGATAGGAGGCCAGGCACCTTGCTGTCAGCAGAGCGACAGAGCCCTCCAGAGAAAAATTCAGTGTTCAAGTTAGGCTCCTGTGATGAATCACACCCTGTATCTCTCTCTCTGTGCTGACTGCATGCTTTGGTTCCTCAGATAAGATACCTGAAGCCAAAAGAGCAAATTCAGAGTAATCTCTCTCCATGTTTGGCTTTTTTCCCCCTGTACAGGTCTGAAGGGGAAAGTCAGCGTGAGCTCAGCAGGCCGCCTGCCCGGCTACGGATGCTTGGTGGCGTGCAAAACAGTTTGGCTCAAATTTTACAGTATCTGAATTTCTCCTTTCACATAGCTGTTTTCAGTCACTTCTTTCAAAGACATCATACCTGCCTGCGTCCCTGAAATGAACCATAACCCTATTTAAGCCGACTATGTTCCTCTCATTTGTACTCATCCTCGCTAGTTCGAGTTCACTGATGCTGTGCCCTGTTCTAGGATCTTGAATTACTCATGTTTCTTTCAAACAGCTAGTACAAATTTTAAGGTACTAAAAATACTTCTGAAAACCTCACCCCTGCATTTCTAGGAAGCATCTTATGTTTAGAGAATTCTTCACTTGGTTACACTCTAAGATGAATTGATTTTATTGTTCCCAGCTAGGACCATTTGTTTATGTCCTGCAAAGAAATTTGTTTGGTTTCAGTTTGATTACCATGTCTTGGCACTAAGCTAACTGGGTTTCCAACACTGCAAAGGAATGAAAATATCGCCATATATTCATTGACTTTAAAAAAGAAGTATAAAACCATGTTTATTAAAATTTTTTAGTCTTATATAAAATTTTTTTTGCTTTTTTTGAGGCAAAACCAGAACTATTCATGGCCTGTAGGTGGCAGCAGCATACTATCAGATGAACACAAGAAAGGGCGCTGGATCCTGTCTGTTCACACCCTCCCAGGGTAGAGCATATTCTCCAGACCTCTGCAGGAATACCATGCCCTTAGTATAACGTAACTTATCTGCACTTCCCAAAATCTGTTCAAATAAAGCAACGCAAAAGGCAGTGAAGCTGCACGTATCATACATGGTTGTGACGGTTTCCCTCTAGTGCAAACACTGGCCTCTGAAGTGGCAGGCATCGCATTTGAGCGGCAAGGAGCGAAATGTGCTCTCGCTCCACCGCAGCTATGTGGGTATCCGGTTGGCACAGGGGTCATGCCCACCGATGCCCAAGCTGCATTGCTGTGGGACTGGACTCAGCTGTACCACTTCATGAGGGCAGATCTGTAAGAGAAATGTGCTTAGGCACTTTGGGGTAGAGGAAAACACAGGGCTGACCTGGGAGGCCAGGCAACTCACCTTTTCAGGTTTGTAAGTTATAAATGGAGCAAAGAGCAGGACTTGGGGGGGGGGGGGGCACGGACGTTTGGCTTTACCCTGGGCATCTCTGGGGAAGGTCACACACGCTGTGCACGTGCAAGGACACATCTGTCACAGCCAGTGGGTTCAAGCCCTGCTCCCCCTGCCTTCCCCTTTGTCTCCCAGCAGCAAGCCCAGCCCCACCAGTGTGGCGTGTGTCCCACCAGCACAGCCATGTAACATGCACCTCACTTCGTCTTCCACGTGTGCGGCATCATCTCCCAGCCCAGGACGGAGAGGAGCTGGGGACGATGCTCCCCTCCGACCCTCCCCTTCCACCTAGGGGTGAGACCACCTCCTCCCTGGGGTGCAACCCCGAGGAGCCGCCCAGCCCTGCTCTGTCCCCCGTTGCTGCGCCAGCAGGCAGGCTCCGGCAGCACAGTTCTCGCAGTGTGGGCACTACCCGGCGGCTCCGGCACAGGGGCTCAGAGAAGACCAGTGGGGTTCCCCCCATCTCATCAAAGTGCAAGGGGTTGTTCCGAGTCCCTGCCACCACCAGCTCCAGCAGCCGGACCACGCAGTCTGAAAACCAGTTCTTCAGGCGGAAATAGCCCTCCTGGAAAGAGATTCGGAGGCTGACGGGCCCCGTCGGCATCCGCACGCTCAGGCTGAACAAGCAGTTCCCCTGCGAGCTGTCCCGCACCAAGTAGGTGCCAACAGGCTCTCGCTGGAGCTTGGCGTGAGCCTCCCCCACGGATAAGGGGCCCCAGTAGAAGTCGCTGGCCTGAAGGCTATTGAGGGATCGCTCCAGGACCTCCCACTCGCAGCTGCGAAACATCCGGAAACGATCGGGCAAGCCGGGGGGCGTAGGGCTGGGGAGAACGCTCCGATGCTGCCTTTGCGGACGAGAAACAGTGGTGTGTGTGTTGTGCAGATCATCTGGCCTCCCTCTGATCATCTCTCAAAGAGCCCATGGATCCTGGAAAGATGCTACCTTTACCATGCTTCCTCCTTTGCAGCCAGCCTGTAGGACAGAAGGAGAGTGAGGCAAACCCGATACCTTCTTCTAACCGGGCAAGTGAAGATACTTCATAGGGAGAAGACAGCAGCAAGAATACCAAAGAGGGTACCGGGGAGTTACTGTACGTCCCTCACCCACACCTGTAGGGACAACCAAGGAAATACATGCAGGAAGGGCTCCAGCTGGTCCCCAACCAGTGCAAGGTAGCACCTTACAGAGCTCTGCATCCACTGGGTTTCCATGATCCACAGCTGGGGCTCCCCAGGACACCCTTCAGCAGGCTGGTTTCAACCTAGCAGATCTTGGTATTTCGAGATTCCCCTCTGTTGGATGTTTAGGGGCTTTTCAGAGTGGCCTTGACACTGGGAAGGGGAAATGACAACCCAAAGCAGAAGGGAAAAATTTCCCAAAGCAGGAAAGTATTGTTTACTTTCTCATTCAGCAAAAGGTGAAAATGTTTCCTCATGCCTCTCTAACCCTTTCTCCAACAAAGGACAGATAACAGGACTTAGAAGAAGCAGAAGACGAGAACGAGCCTTTCCCACCAAACCCCATGAACCACTGCCTCATCCTAGGACATGTCCATTCAGTGTGCCGGGAGAAAGCAAAGGTCTCGCATCAAGACCCCCTTCAAGAAATGTTTCACCACCAACTTCAGGGCTGGGACTGTCACAAACGAGACCACTTAACACTGGTACCAGACATTGCTGATGTCTGAGGAACGGTTCTGCTCAGGCCCTTCCAGACCCTTAACTTCTGTTTCTGCCAGAGGGACATCTCCCCCCACCAGCAGACGATGTCACCCTCTCCCAGTCACCATCCTCCACTCATGTACTGTGCTCAAAGTGCCCTCCCTTACTGTCATGACCCTGCTCATGTCCTGCACCTCGTGTTATCACCAGGCTGTCTGTTTTCAGAATTGCAAATTCCTGAACCCAGTGTTGCCATCAGCCATCCAAGTCATTTCAATTATATAAAAAAATTACACATTCTGCATGTGTGTATGTGTATGCATAAACATAAAAGCCACAGCCCCAAGCCAGAGGCTCATTCAATGTGAGAAGCTGAGCTGTTACATACCACTTCCCCAGGCCTGACAAGTCAGTAGCTCACCGCCAAACCCTGCCCTCCGTCCCTTGACATAGTCCATTAACCCAGTCACACTCGCTGACAGCACAGCCATGCTCGGAGCAGAACACACTGCTGACACACAGCCTGCAGTGGAGGAAGAGACGTGCTCCTCCATCTCTGGCAGTCCCCCGCACCGCAGACTCAGGAGAGCGCCGGGGCTCATAGCGGGCAGGCAGCCCCCCAGGGAACACGTGGGGACCTGCAGAGGGCTTGCTCTGGAGGGAGAGCTTTAGGTTAGGCTCAGCAGTTTGCAAGGTTCCCCTTATCTCGCTCCCTTTGCTGGCTATTCAAAAGCCTCACGCTCCTTTTGGTGCTCGTGCCAGCTGGACACCCATGCGGAGCCCACTCTGCACCCAGGGAGAGGACACGGAGCAGCAGGGCCAAATGTCTTTCCCTCGCATGGGCACAGTAGTTTTGCAAAGGAGGCATCTGCCCGGCAGTGCCTTGCCTATGGTCATCTTTCCTCTCCTAACATCTCTCTCAATACTTAGCAGTAATACCAATAGTTGTCAGGTACTTCTCCGTATGTGGAGCCATAAACACCCTTCCATGCAGCCTGGGAAGGTTCTCCAGTTTCTAGCCCTGTGATTTGCAGTCTACGAGCCGCTAACATCCCTGGCACCACTCTGAATGCTGCCGATCCTGCCCTTTAGCTATGTGTCACCACAGGAGGGAAATTCCATGCTTAGAGAAAGGTGGGAGGGGTAGGAAGGAGTTAATCAAGTCATGTTTTTCCTTTTTCATTAAAAAAAAAAAGGCAGCAGTTGAAAGCTGCTTGGGTGGTTCAGCAAGTCAGAATAAATCTTAGGGGAAGTTGATTTAGTGAGCAGAACGCAAGTAAACACAGTTGCCACGTGCAGCGACTAGGGCCACCTATCAATACCAAAAACTCAGCACTGTAGGCGCCACAGCATCTCTGTCCCTTTCCTTCTCCTCTTTGCTGGGGGAGGAAGCTATAGAGCCATCTGACATTAGCTACTATAGAAAAAGAAGGTCATACTCCTGCCAGCTGCCTCCCAGGCTGCAGGTATAGCCTCGATGGGAGCGAGAAGAAGCCTTGCTCCCACCAGCAGCCACTCTCTTCCCAAACAGCAACTTCTCTTGGGTCCAAAGGGAAATTTTGCCAATCTCATGGGTCTAGGTTGGAAAATTAATTCAAGCAGGAAAACAGAAGCAGGCAGCTGTCTTTCATTTCCAGGCTAGTTTTAAAAATAACAAACAAATAGATAATTTGTTTAAGGCTGCAGATGCTATTTGACAGGAAAAAAAAAAAACAAACTTGTTTTTGTCCCAGTTTTCAACCTTGAGTCATTCTCCCAAGTCCTTTAAGAAAAATCCACTGCTACTGGAAGTCTGACTGACTAAGAACTGAGACTGTGTCATCGTTTCGAATTCAAAGTAAACGCAAAAATAGCACCCTCACAATTTGTTCACTCGGTTTGAAATCTACATATGGGTCAGAGCCTCAGACAGTGTGAATTTGTTTAGCTTCAGTGACCCATTTCCAACAGATGACTGCCTGGCCTGCAGCACAGTGTTAGTTATATTAATATTAGCTCTAGAAGTGCTTCCTGATATTACCTTTCAGGTTCACTTTTAATGGGTCAACAGGTCCTACGTGTACATGGCCTCCCACGTCAAGGAGGATGAGCAGACTCTCAGGATTAGGAATAAGCCAGCCCAGGGGCGTAATGAAGTACACATGCATAATTAGTTCTTCTTCTGATTTGCCACACCACGATTTGCTTTCCCTTCCCACCCCCCTCCGAAAAAGCCCAAAAAACCCCAACGCCCAAACATGTTACTACCTCCCTACTGCAAGACAGTCAGAACAGTGTTTGCAGCCAAAGCAATATACCCCAAAAAGCTGACATCCCGCTAATTAAAAGGCTGGATAAGTTTCCCCAGACCTTCTGGTTTACTGCAAGTTCAAGAGCTTTTCAAAATAAGTGGTCTTGACACAGGGCGTTCTGCTTCCCAGCTCATTCACTACCCAGGCAAAGCAGTGTATTTCATATAAGGAAACAATTCTAGTAAACTAGGGGACTGTACGCAGCATCTGGTGTCAGCCAAGTCAGCCCTGCACCCTGGGGCTTGACAAATCTGGCAAGTTCAACAGCAGCTTCAAGTACTCAGCTATGATTTGTTCTTGCACTCTTCCTCCAGGACACTTGAAAGAGCTTACCTCTTTAAATTTACCACCCATAGAGATGAGTTTCTGGACGTCAGGCCTGGAAATGGTCCAAATTCAAGAGCTTCAATGCAGCACTTCCCAGTTTTTGCAAAGCTTCATTTAAGAGCAGATCCATCCTTCGAAAAGAAAGGGACATCCATCAAATGGGTGACTAAACCCATTAGTTCGCCATAATGAGGGCCTAAAATACAACAAATCTGGTGACAGGTTATCTGTCTCAACCTCTTTGACCTGTATTATTGTAGAAGCATGTATACAGCACTTTATATAGCAACAAAGGCAACAGATTATTGTTGTTGTTATTATTATTGCTACTTCCAAAGCCATGAGCTGATTAGGTCCAGATAACTCACAGATGGCCTAAGGACAAATGCAAAGACCTTATAGTTGCCATCATCTTCTGGAAGCGGGAACCATAAAACCCAAATGTTAAGAGATGATGGCAACAGGAATAAGCTTAAGAATTCTTAAGGTTAAGGACCTTGGGGGTACTGGTGGATGAAAAGCTGAACATGAGCCGGCAATGTGCGCTTGCAGCCCAGAAAGCCAACCGTGTCCTGGGCTGCATCAAAAGAAGCAGGACCAGCAGGTTGAGGGAGGTGATCCTGCCCCTCTACTCTGCTCTGGTGAGACCCCACCTGGAGTACTGAGTCCAGCTCTGGGGCCCTCAGCACAGGAAAGACATGGACCTGTTACAGCAGGTCCAGAGGAGGGCCATGAAGATGATCAGAGAGCTGGAGCACCTCTCCTATGAGGACAGGCTGAGAAAGTTGAGGTTGTTCAGCCTGGAGAAGAAAAGGCTCTGGGAAGACCTTATTGCAGCCTTCCAGTACTTAAAGGGGGCTTATAAGAAACATGGGGACAAACTTTTTAGTAGGGCCTGTTGTGATAGGACAAGGAATAATAGTTTTAAACTAAGAGAGGGTAGATTTAGACTAGATACAAGGAAGACATTTTTAATTATGTGAGTGGTGAAACACTGGAACAGGTTGCCCAGAGAGGGGTGCATGCCACACCCCTGGAAACATTCAAGGGCTTTGAGCAACCTGGTCTGGTTGAGTATGTCCCTGCTCATTGCAGGGAGGTGGGACTAGATGACCTTGAAAGGTCCCTTCCAACCCAAACTATTCTATGATTTGGAACAGCTAATTCAAACTCGTGCTCAATGCAACACACAACATTTAGAGTCTCTTATCTGAAACGGCATAGGTAGCCAGTAGCTGCTGAGTTATCCAAATAGTGACCCAGTCTGTTCTTGCCTGTGCTATTCTGCCCTGCTTCCCTGGGTCTTGAGGGTTTTCTTTCTCACCTTGCAGATGGAAAACTAAAGCCGCTGACCTGGTGGAGCAGCAGACCACCACTTGTGCAATCGCATGTCTGTCAGTGGATCCATCAGCAAGCTGAAAAACTGAACCCAGCCTTCTGCACGCCTTTCAGAGGCAGTCTCTGTAAGGCTTTACTTATACCTAGGCTCCATTACTTAACGTCACTTCCCTGCATCCCTACCAGCCAAGCCCAGACCGGGCACACACCCCACAAGCCACATTGACTTGCGGCTAGCAGAACTGCAGGTCTATCCCATTACTACGCTATCCACTCCATTTGGCTTTGACATCTCCCAGTTCAGTTATTAATCCCGCAGTTCCCAGAGCAGTTAGAGGGAAGCTGGATAAT